CTTTTCGTATCAAAAGGCGCTCACCCTATAAAAATGTATATTCCCTATCGTCATATCACATACGAATTGAATTATTCTGAAAAAGACAATAATTATTCATAAATTGTTTTACCAGGCATCAGCTGACATAGGTGACACGTACAGACAAACAGACAATAAACGTTAATGCAAATGCGATGTACGAACACATGAGCACGAATTTGGAGACAATGGGATGCAACAAAAAAAAAATTTTTTTTTCTTGCTCTCAGGTTGGTTGTCACATAATTTGTATAATTTGTTGAAAGTAATTCAGCCATATTGCCTCCTAAAAGATACGAAATGGTTCGCTTTTAAAATCATCATCATACATGCTACGCACATCACAAATTACTACAATAATTTAATTCAAATAGTCATCTCATATAATCTAGAGATTTATTATAATCTAGAGATTTATCCTATTCCTATTTTTCAGTAATTTTAGAAATTTCAGTAATTTTAGAAATTTTAGAAATTTTTCAGAAATTTTCAGAAATTTTCAGATATTTTCAGATATTTTTCGGGTATATCATTTCGACTTAATATTGGTCTATCGTTGAATCATCATTATTAAATCATATGTATATGTTTATTATAGATAGTTTATTTGAATTACAGATTATAAAGTTAAAACGCCGAGCTAACCAATTTGAAAATTTTTTTTTTCATCTGTGATATAAAATAGTACCTTATTATACAAATATGGTTAAGTTCTTTGTACGTAGGTATTTATCAAATATTGTTGATTTTTTTTTTTATTGGCAGAAATTGATGCAATAAAATTTCAAATGTAAATGTTTGGGAAATAATAAAACCCTTGGTACAACATTAACATATATAAAATTATATTATGTCAAGCGCGTATTAAGATTCTTACAGTATCTTAGTTATCTATAGTTATCTATAGATATACATTTTAATTTACAGAATCACAACCAATGGTTAATCTACTCAGCCCAAAATCAAACCTTCCTAAAAGATTGTCAGGCTGTAAATGACAATGAGAATGAATATCCACTATCCGACGACAATAACTTCAAAAGGTACGACGTTCCAAGGTCCTGGAACGAACAGATTGTTGTTTACAAAAAATGCAATGCGTTCAGCAAAAATGAGATCATAATTCAATTTTATGCCTATTTATCGTTAGACAAAAAAGATCTTTTAGTTTAAAAATGTACATACTTACGTATTCAATGCGCGAGAATGTTAGATAAAATCACGAATTCACGAATAAGCAATTGACTGACTATACTAGATTTTCAACATTGAATTTTCTATTTGTAAAAAAAAAAAAATGCAGAATCTATAGGCTAAGATCGATTAGGTAAACAGCTGGTGAATGTATAAAAAGAGTAACCTAAATATTTTACAGTATTATATAAATTAAAAATATCCTACGTATTTTAGACAAGAAAGATATTATCTATGTAAATTTCGGAGCATGTCGGGCAATTGTCTATATTCAATTTTAACAATAATGCATGTGTCCATTTGTTTATTTATTTACCCATTTTTTTCTCTTAGATGAATAAAAGTGGAATGTGTATATCCGGTATTCATTTATAACATTTATAAAGTATTTAAAAAAAAAATGTTGACATTTTTACTAATCTTAATATGCATTATAAGACCGGTATGTATAGATATGACAAAGTAACTAAATGCTATCAACAAGGTGTTACATCACATGTTCAATGACTATTTTTCAATGTCAAAAATCATTATTTCTTATGCAAAAATCGAAAGGATCTTTTATGACCAATGAAATTAACAGTTTCAAGTAAATACAGCAGCATTATGTATATTATGTATGAAACACAAATCTGAATCAATGTAATAAACAAAGTAATAATACAATAGTCACATTGTTTTAAAAAAAAAAAGCATTACTCGGCCGTTTTTCTTATCAAATTACACATTCAAGAAAAAAATTGTATCACTAAAGTAAAATTCTATAAGGAGACAATCTTGTGTAGTGGCACGTAGTATACGTATAGCATTAACTAGTCTAAGATAACGAGATCTATCTTACTGTGGCATGTCTTTCCCCGCAAAAAAAATCTCCATATTTGTAAGAAACTTGTCTTAGTGTTCGCCATATTGTTTTTGTTTTTCATGTTTGTGTTACATTTGTTCACGATAGCTATTATTAAGTGCATCAATTGCTTTTACATTTGGAAATCAAGTAATTTTTGTGATAAAGTTAATGATATTCTTTTGTCCGTGTGATATTATAATTAACGTTTCGCTGTGCGATTACGTATAATGCGTTTAAACTTAGAACAGATATAATGAATATGATGATTGTTTTTTTGTTTTTTTTGGCGCCTAAAGGTCTATCTATCTATGTACGACCAATCAGAGTGAAATAAACAATGATTTGAAATTCATATTCCCTATATTCCCTCATTGTTGCTATTATAATTGAAATGATTGAGTAATGGAATTTAACGGGTCAAAATGTCAGATAGAGAATGCAAAATTTAATAGTGATCACCGGTTTTTTTTTCTTAATCATTTAAACTTTTCTTTTTGTTTTTTCTTTTTTTTGATTGTGTTCTCCCAAAAATGTGAACAATGGAAGTTTGAATTCAACAAAGCTAAAGATCTTTCTTGTTACATTCATGACGTTATATTTCTTTTTGATCGGTACAAATTTGGTTGTTAGATTACTTCTGTAGGTTACTCAATCTTTTATTTTTTATTTTTTTTTTGCTTTATGTTCGATTTGAGTTTAAAAATCTTTTTATTGCCTAGCGCCCCAACGATGCATGCGACTTAATTAGAATTCTCTTTGATGACCTAATTTAAATAATTTTTAAATAATTATTTAAAAAATCAATTATTTAATTATTTAAAAATCAATTTTAATCAATCGATTTATTTGATTTTATTGATTTTATTGATTTTATTGATTTTATTGATTTTATTGAATTTATTGAATTTATTTAACGCAGTTAATACAATATTAATGAATCTCGGGGAAAAAAAAAGTTACCTGATATTGGAATGAATGTCAAGTTGTACTAATCGGTTAATCGGTTAATCGGTCGATACACACGCGTCCTCGATTAACTATGATTAACTATCGCTATTATTCTATTATTCTTCGACGTTTCAACCAAACATACGTATGTGATGTCATAATAGAAAAAACGTGTATCCTGTGGATACACACTACCAAATCGGAAGCTAATAAAAGATAATGCATTTATAAATAAAAAATGTAAATCCAATATATATATGGATAAATGCTATTATTATTCTAGATGTACAATAAAGTATAAACGGGTTTTCGGACCCTTTTTTAACATTGTTGGTTGTGGCTTAATTTACCTGTTTACCTAGCCAAACAGCATTATCTTGTCAATCATTTTACTGCGCATACATATTCAAATTTTGATAATGCTGGTTTCATTTATTGTTTCTTTATTTTTACGATACTAAGGAGTAAGATTAGACGTAACAAATTCACCTCCTTTTCCAATAATTCGGCGTAATAATGGTAACTGTCATCATAATATCTATATGACAGTTAATTATTTTTCGCTACTATCGTTATTACTCTTACGAGACTTTTTTCTTGCAAAAAAATGATTTATTAGGTTTAAATGTAATTATTCTTTAACCTTTATTTTTTTTTTTATGTATAAATTTTATATATTATTTATTATTATTATAATTATTATAATTATTATAATTATTATTATCGTTATTATCGTTATTAATTATTTATTATTATTATTATTATTATTATTATTATTAAGCTTTAATTTAAAATATTTTTCGGTTGTATACATATATCTTACAGCCTTCATTTATTCTAATTTATTCTATTGTCACACAACATTTTTATTTTATTGAAAAAAGAACTTTGTGGTTATAAACTGTTTTTTTTTTCGTTTAATATTATTCGTCGTGAATATTATTCGTGGTAGAGCAATCAATGTCAAAAAGTTTTTGATGTACAAATAATAATCAAAACTCAATAACTTCTCTGCTGATTAATTTATATTATATAATTATATAATTATATAATTATATAGCCGGACCTGTAAGTCCTAATTCATCTTGCGACTCAAATTTTTCAGTTCGACTTATTACGTATATGCATTGGTTATGCATTATAGATTTTTTGTGTACTCTAACTAATACACTAATACTGTAATATAATATATATATACGTATATCATATATATATATATTTTAATATCGTTGTTAACCGTTTTTTTTTTTTTTTTTATATATTTTATAATATAAATATATTATATATATTTAATCTGTCGTGCTTTTCTAGTACATATTCCACTATCGATGATTCTATTTTATAATAACGAGTAAATATTAAATTTTTTCATTTTTGAAAAAATTTAAAACCCTCATCCATCTTTCTTTCTCCCTTTAACGACGTTTTACGCGTTCACCTAAATGCCTATTACTCTCAAATCCTTAAAAAAAGACCAGTTATAACGATATCAAATCATCATTTTAACGACTAAAAAATTTCTGTTCTTTTTTTTTCGAAAACTCCTTTCTTTACCGCTCTCTATCCTTACAAATTGTTTTCCGTTTATTATTAACCAACTGAAAGAATAGTTCTTCACAAGAGAACCCGAGATTCAATTAATATTTAAATTCAATATTCAATTCTCTCTTAGGAAACATTTAACTTTGTTGCTTCTCTCACCTTTTTTTTTTATAAACGAATTCCTTAATTACTTTAAATAGTTTCCTTCTCTCTTGTATTTTTTTTCATGTTGGCTAACAAATTAAACAATTAATTTTGTTTTTTTTTCGAAATTTATTTTCTTCCATCTTTCCGTGAACCGTTCGTTCGATTGTCCGTTAATTCCGTAGATCTCGTTTCTTCCTAAATTATTCTAACTATTCGTATAGAAATTAAACCCGATAGGAAAGATTATTTTAAAAAAATATATATATTGTTGATTACTCAAATACGACCTGATCTCGCGAATATGGCCACACAAACCGCTACAGTTGTCGTTCAAACAGAATCATGCGTCTTAACAAATGTGGGTCGAAGACGCAACAAGTCTGTCAGATTTAGTCGGTTTGAAAAAGTTTATTATACTCATTCACCTATCGATTATGATCGTACTTCCATTCTCGCCGAATTAGCTCAACAAAGAAATAATGAACAGTGTCATCAAATTGCTCATTCAGATCAGGCTCATATTATCTTTTCTCAACATCCTATTTTGAGTTAATTAACCAACAATATTGGCGAAATCTTCTGTTTTTTCTTTATTACGTCGATTGTCAAATATTTCGGTTCTTTGACTTATCAATTTTTCTTAAAAAAAAAAAAAAGAGTGATGACTTCCTCGATAACACCATCTATATAATACTATAATAATTTGCTTAATGACAAACGAATCTCTTAATATTTCTTATATCGCAAATCGTTTTTCTATTTTTTCTATTTTTTCTATCTGGGTAACCTTCCTCATTACCCCTAAAAAAAATTTTCTCGATTTTTTTTAATTGTTGGTGATCAGCATATATATCAATACGTATACCACAATTTTTTAAGGTTTAAAATTTATACCACAAAATTTTACCACATAATTCGTTTTTTTTTTTTTAGTTTATATTATATAATATTTTTTTATCTATTTTTATCTATGATTAAGCTTTTCTTATGTCCTCTTTCGAAAAAAAAATTGCTACTACTTACCAAAAAATCACGAACGAATTCGTTTTTATTTCGTATTTTACTTCTTTTTTTTTTATTTTTAATAGTATTGCCAAAAGTATTCTTTATTTTTGGGTGGTGCAAAACAAATATTATGGTTTTTTTTTCTTTTTTTTTTGTGCGGAAGGATTATCGTTATATTTCTTATACCAACGATCCTTTTTTTTTAATTTTTCTATGATAAAAATCCCTTTCGTATTTCTCAAACAAAATATTAAATCCAAAAAAAATATGCTAAAAAACAAAAAAAAATGTTTTTTTTTAAAAAAACAATATGATTTTCTTATAACGAACGCACGTTAAATAAACACCTTTTTTATAAAAAAAATACTGTAATAACAAAAGCAAACCTTTGTATATATTTTATATTCTATTATAGTTTTATAGCTTTTGTTAACCATGTATAAATAATCAATTTTCCGTATATATTTTTTTGTTTGTAATGAAGAAAATTTTTTCTTTGTAAATAATTCGAGTTCCTCGCTTTTTTGTTCCTTAAATAATGTTTGATTCTTGAATTTTTACGATATACATATATATATATATATCTATGTTTAGCTTACTTTTCTTTAAACTTTAAAAAAAAAAAAAAAAAAAAAAAATAGAAAATGAATAAAAAAACACGCGACAAATTTCCCGTGAAATTTGTCCTCGAGTAAATCCGAAAGTTGCCGCTTGAAACACGTTTTTTATTTTTAATCCTATTCGTGCATTGATCCCCACTTTTAATAATAAATTTTTAATATTTTTTTTTTTTTTAAATTATATAATAATAATGTGTACAAACCGCGCGACAAGATCGATTGTCGAATTTGGTGAACTCGTGAAACAAATCGAAAGTTAGAATTTTTTTTTTTTTTTATTAAAAACTTGAAAACTAAAAAAAAAATATATATATATGATCACCGAATTTATATCTTATTCGTGTCATGCATTTTTACAATGAACGGCGGATTTAGGTAATTATTTTTCGAAGACGGAATGAATCTTGATTGGGTAATTTCTTTATTGATGTATACCTACCATGGTACTGTAAGTACTAAAGTACGTACGTACGATTATGACTTTTATGTTGTGAAACTTAGGTTCATATAAACAAATTATTTAGAGTTTTACATGGTTGTAAAAAATTAACGTTAATTTATGATTACATCAATTATGTTACTAACCTTAAAGATCAACAAATTTGTACGTACGCACGTTAATTAATTTATAACCAAAAAATCTATCAATTAAAAAATTTGGTGTATTTTCCCTGGTAAACTATAGTAACTACGTATTACAATACAGTATTACCTTTTTTTTATGGTTTATAATGATTTTAATCTTTGAGAATTATTAAAAATTTCAAAATATTTCTATCTTTCAGGGGTTATGGTTCAGTTCACAATCGGCTCAAACTTCAGTTTAAATTATACCCCTGAGAAATAACAACGATAACAGACTGTATTTAGCCTTTTCTAATAATCAAAAGTACCTATTATTTTAGATAAATTTTAGTTTCGAATAACCATTATCATTTATTGTCGCAGATTATAATGAAATCGGATTAAAATGAATGGGGACCTTTCTTGCTCATCTTTAAAGCTTATAAAACCCACTTATACTCCTTTATTAATAAAACTAACTCTAAACCCTAACCCTAACACTAACCCT